ACCTCTTGTTTCCTTGGGTGTTCTGTAATTTTAAATTATATGCTGGTCATTTTTTTTTTTAATGACTTGTAAAAATTGCTTGAGGTCTAGGACACTTGTACTTATTTCCAGAAAATATTCACTTTTGTGTCTGCCATCTATGCAGACACTATCTAACACAGTGTGATAACTATAATCTAAGGTCCAGACCTTGGACTTCCTAGATCACCCAGGGAATATTATCTTAGACTGCAAGTACATACCAAGACTGGCTTCATTAAATGTCATCTTTACTAAGAAGCATAGAAGGCACAGGGATTAAAGTACTGAACTGCTACCCAAAATGTCAGGGATTCAAACACATCAGACACTCCTTAGGGGAAAGAGATGGCAATTTGCTTCTGGACCGAGTACGAGGCAGTTCTACTCTTTTCATTGCATTTTCCCACGAACTTTTTAAAGTCCCCTTGTATGTGTTCACTCACGCAAATTGTAGTGGTTTCAGAAAACCCAATTTAGTTAATTTTAAAAAGTGTGTGCTGAGCATTTTCAGATTGGTTTTCATCGTAGTCTCTGCTGAGCTGTTCTTATCTAAGTAGGCGTTGCCTCCCATGATTATGCGGCTGCTCAGCATTGACCCCTACTAGTTTAAGTAGTACGGTAGGTTTAGTAAAGACCGATCCCACTGATTTTCAGCTTCTGTGGGGCTTTGTGTTAATGCACTGGACTGCAAAATCAGTTTGGACTGCAAGGTCAGTGGTTCAAGCTGCTCCTTGGAAACTCTATACAGGGTCACTATGGGTCGGAACTGACTCAACAACACTTAAGAACAGTTTCCTGGTTAAGCTTCATTTACCTGATTCAAAGTTCCCTGAAAAAATCCAATTTATATCAACTTATACCAACGCCTACTTTCTCTGCTGGTGCCCTTTTGGTATCTTTTGTTATTGATGAAGTTCAACAACTATCAGGTATTTCAGACAGGCCCCAGATGACCAAGAAAGATACTAAGCACATGCGTGTTCACATATACACATACAAACTTTTTTCTCCATCCCAAACATTCTCTTTTCAATAATTTGAGCAGTTTTGGTTGAAGTCAGCTTCTTAACATTTATTTCTGATTAACTCTTTATTGCTCACATTTTAATTTTTTTTAATTAATTGATTTTTTTCTGGCTCAATGTCTGGTCAATTTTTAGAAATGTTTTGAGTGTTCTGAAAAACAATGTGTCTTCCGTAGTTGTTCGGTGCAATGTTGTCTGTATTGTATATTTGGTCGTGTTACTGAATTGCCTTGTTCATGCTTTCTGTATCTTTACCGGTTTTCTTCCTGTTCATTCTATCATTCCTGAGAGACTTGTGTTAAGAGTTTCCACTATGATTGTGGATTTTACATTGTCTTCTTGAAAGTCTGTCTTGTTGTTCTTGTCAGGTGCCATCGAGTC